AACCGTTCCGCTGAGGAGGAGGAGGAGGCTGCGCCCCGGAGCCAGCGGACGTGGAGCCGGCCCCTGGCGCATCCCGAGAAAACGGTGTTGTGTGGCGGCTGTGACCCGCTAAGGTGGCAGTAAAGGTCACGACTTGTTTACCGGAGAATCGGTTGAGTTGATACCAGATTATTTCGGAACGAGATTATTTTATATACCAGATTATTTTCGTGATTTACCAAAAGGCCGCCAAGCTCATAGACTCAGTTCCTGCGTCTGTATCGTGCACCCCAAACCGCATCCTTGCGTGTTCTCTGTTGGTACCGTTGCTTTTTCTTCAGACTCGGACCACCCGTCCCTGCTCCCAAAGGCAGAGAATAAACTGTATAATTTCTTTTGGATCTGTATGCCCAAATTCTGGGGTAGTAGCTGGGGGAATGCCCGTGTCCCACTGGAGCGGGGGAGCCCTGTTGTGTTCAGTCGGGGCCGCCCCGGGGTTGGGGATTTTCCGGCTCGCGGCGCTGCCCGGTGCAGCCCGGGGTTTTCTCCCGCTGTTCACCCAACTTCCCGGGGAGCCGCATCAGCCTGAGCGGCCACGGCTGGTCTGAGCTGGCCTTGGCGCTTTGCAAAGCACAGAACTCCCTCCCTTTCCTGTGAGAGCTGTTTAATTCAGACTCAAGACTATGAGAAATCGGGAGTCTGTATGACTGAAACAAATCTAACAGAGACCTTGCCGGGCAAAAGTCCTGTTGTTAAAAATCTGAAGCATAACATTTTATTTTTCTGTTTATTGACGTAATTTCTGAAGAACGTTATAAATTTGAGTAGGACCTTAATTAATTAAAGTATGCTAATTTATAGTAAACTTTCCATTTCAAGTGAGTCACCCTTCTCAGCTTCTAAGTCATCCAGTAAACAGGACTGTCAGACATTATCTACGTGGCATATATTTTATTATTTCAGCACTAATTGCACCTTATAACTGCTAACGATTGCCAATGACATAAAAAAAACCTGGTGTTCTGTTTAATTTAATAACCAATAGAGTTTCCAAATAAGACAAATAATTATTTAATACCTTCCTCACAAATAAAGCAGCTGAGAAATGAAGTAGTGACCCTGTACAGTTTCTTGGCTTAAGAAATACCTATCTCACAAGGGTATTTAACTAAGTGTGTTGATATCAAGCTGTGTGGTGGTCAAATACTTGCTTTGACCAGACTTAATCACGTGCAGTGCAGGTTATGGCAGGCTCTGTGCTGCACTTTGTTAGAGTACATATATTAATGTCTGAACAAAAAGCCCTCCTAATTAAAATAAGACCTAGGAACAGGGTTAAAAATGTTAAAGGCTGGAAAGATTGAAAATAAGTGGTAAAGAATGTAAGTGATAAGATTTGAAGAGTTATACATTGATAAACAAAATGTCAAATGGTATATATGTATTGCCAATAAGTTGATAGGAATGAATTTTTGATTGCTTCAGTGAGAAAAAAACAGATATGATTTATACCAGTTGGTAGATAAAGACACTAAAGATACAGCTGTACAGCTGTAGCTGTATAGAAAGGTAAGATGTGTTTCATCCGTGTAAATATCTGGACATCCTCCATTTTCAATACTTCTACTGAGACTCGTGGCACTCAGCAAATCATAGAGTTTAGGCTGGAAATATCTCTTAGAACATTGAGACCACCTGTTAACCCAGCAGTGCCACGCCCACCACTAATCCATGTCCCTCAGTGCACGTCTACAGGTTTTTTAATTCCCCCAGGGATGGTGGTTCGTGGTTCAGCCACTCCTTGGGCAGCCTGTTCCAAAGCTCAACGATGCTTTCAATAAAGACATTTATCCAAATGTCCAAAAACCTCCCTTGGCACAACTTGTGTCTATTTCCTCTTTTGTTCCTGGCAAGTAGAGACTGACCCCCACCTCACTATGACCTTTTTTTCAGGCAGTTGTAGAGAGTCACACTGTCCCCTTTCAGCCTCCTTTTCTCCAGGCTAATCACCCCCGCTCCCTCAGCTGCTCTTCATCAGACTTGTGTTCCAGACCCTTCATCAACTCTGCTGCCCTCCTCTGATCCTGCCCCACCACCTCAGTGTCCTTCTTGTAGTGAGGGGCCCAAATGCACTGCACTCAGTAGTTAGCATTTGCAAAATTATTTATGTTCAAACACACATGAGCAAAAGAGCTGGGAGACACTTGTAACCAAGGGATGTATTTGAAACTGATTGTTGGGTAGGCATTTTGTCTGCACTGGTGCATTTGCTTATTCTTTATCTGAGGAAAGCGAAGTCTGCAAAGAGAAGCTGTGTGAGGAGATTATTGAGTATGCATCTGCCTTCTGAAGGGCTACTGAGCTGTGGTAACCTTTTAAGTTTCCATAAATTCATCATATTACAAACACACCAGTAAGAAATCTGTGTGGAATAAATAGTTTCTGATTTTGCAGATCTCAAAGAGTGTGTGATCCCTCTAGTGGGAAAACTGAAGTCAAGCAACACAGGATGCTAGTACTATTGCCTTTTTTTTTTTTTTTTTGAGATAATTCACTATTTTTCTAAGAAAAGGCCTAGGTAAAATAATTTTGTTTAGAAAGGGAGAATTATGTGCACAACTTTCATTCCATAGCTTTTTTTGGATTCTTAGTAGTAGGATTTTAAGAAAGAATTCAGAATATTGCTACAGTAATAGTGTAACTGCCTGTCGTGGGGTGACAGCCTTCAGCCTTTATCCCAATATCGTGTGTTGTGTCTGGCAGCT